TAAACAACGCTACACAGAATTACACCTAGACAAATTAAGAAATTTCAATAAAGGAACAGCTCCGCAGGGCTTGGTTTATCTGTAAGTCAATTCCCAGAAACTTTAGACTAACCCATAAAAATAGAATTAGCCAAAACACTTGGATTGGTACTATATTTACAACAAATAATACTAGTACACTTCCCCATCCTAACTAAAGAACCAGGGAACAGCTTGGTGGTGGTCACGTTTGAACCTCCCAACTGACCTTCCTTTGTTCTCTCCTTCAGCGGAGATGGAGCTGATGTCATATCCATCCCCGGCCATCGACTTCCGGTCCCTCCGATTCCTCCGTTCCAACTCCACTCCTCCCTCACTAACCTCGGAGCCCCCATTATTCCGCAATCCTCTCGGTACCCCTCGATGGTCACCACCCCCTCATTTCAATTTATTACCTACGCCTCCCTAAGTACGGAGCCCCGAAGACTTCCGGACAGCTCCGACGTCCGCTAGCGCACCCCCGCCTCCACTGGGCAATACACTCGCCTGCCCTGCAGAGTCCACCTTCGGGCTTATCCCTCCTTTCCATTTCTGGGTTATCGCCTGCCTTTCCACTAACCCCGCGAACCGACTCGTCGGTAACATTCAGTCGGCTAATGGTTAAACCCCGTTAGCTCCGCTCCGTTTGGCTCCGCCAATTGCGGAACCGTCTCCGCTGTAACCATATATATATCCCACTTGTACATAGGTTACGCCCCAGTAGAAAAATCAACTAGAGTTACCCCCCTAGGTTCTAATTGCCAGTCAGTAAGTTAGGGCACGGACGTGTCACTAGGCACAGTGCTCTTGGCAGAAGTCGCTGAGGCCGAAGCCCTCCATTACGGAGACATTCTTTCGTCTCGAGTCTGGTCTCTGACACCGAGATTCGGTCATGCAAGACAAGTTCCTCCTTTATATTATGAGGGAGGGCATTTATGAAATGCTCATTGAAGCTTGCCTGATCTGGGCAAGTAATCATCTTCTCCAATGCATGGAGAAGTTGCATGTAAAAGTGCTTGAGGAATCATAGGAAAGTGTTTTGAAAAGCTTGATGGCAGGTACTGCCACCGATCTTTTCACATAAGTGTCAGGATCCGGACCCCAGCTGGGAGTGGCCGGAGGGCGAGGCCGGGTGTGGAAGCTGGGGTACTCTCCCCAGGTGCTAACTCCTCGAAGTCGCTGAGGGGACTGGCCTCAGCCTTCACAGGGAATGAGCTGAGAAGAAGGGTAAGCTTCTCAGCCCCCTGTGAGGCCGACACAAAAGGACCCTAGGAACTATACAGTTCCCGCTTGCTGCCGACTTTCCATAACGAGTGTGACCCGTGGGAAAGTTCTGGGCGAGCTGCTCGCCCAGAACGTTCCCACGGGTTCGCGCGTGCGCGTCATTATGTGAAACAGTGGGGGGAAGGATAAGGGGAATGGGGAAATGTGGAGAGAGGGTGGTTAGGAGAAGGGTGAGGGTGTCTGAGGGTGAGTGGGGTCAAGGGCTGTGCCCTGACAATAAGCTTCTTGAGAAGCTGCATGAAAGTGGGGACTAACCCACTCTCAAATCCTTGCTTCATGTCATGAAGCATGATCTGTTTGGGGTCGCCATCTAAGGTGCAGGATAGAGCATCTACATGGAGCTCATTATAACCCTTGCCCTTCCACCCATTTCTTGAGATCCAGGAAACAGAGTTTTTTTTTAAGTAACTCTGTTTTAACATCAGGTGGTAGGGGAGTCAAGATCCACATCTTAACTGGGTTCTCAATATGACGAACTAACTCCTCCATGAACCCTTCTGGGTCACCAGGTGCTAAACTATTCAGATCCCATGAATAGGATCTTAGTGTGGATTCGACGAATCCATTGGGAGGAACAGCCAAGCTCGCCACTTGAGGGAGGGCAGAACCCATGGTCCTAGGGACTTGGGAGCTAGGCTCCCTTTCCTTCTTCACTGGTGATACGATGATAGGGTGTGTTGCCCCTCCAACTGGATCTTGGAGTGTGCATATTGTTGGCTGAGGAGTCGAGGCATTCTGCCTCGGCACTCCGAAGAGATTATTTGGCCTATTACTTCTACTGGGCCTATCCTGGCCCAGCATTCCCTAGAACCCATTGTGTGGGTCTGGTGTGGTAGATCGGCTGTAGGAATTAAGCCTACATTTGATTCCCCATGCATGGGTGTCTAATCCTTCTGGTTTGTGCACATAGTCGGCATCGCCATCTATCTGCATTCCATATTTGATTGATGTTTCACTATGGGTGCGAGGAGCAAAGATAGTCCTTTGTTTCCTTTTTATCTTGCCTTCTCTGTTAATAATGAGGGCTCATCCAGACCCATGTCTAAGGGTCTGGGACTGAGGAACGTCTTGATCAACATCACCTTCATCCATCAAACCAATAAGGATGGCAGGCTCCTCCTCATTATTAGGGAGTGACCTAAGCGACGTTTGAGTTTGCCTCAGGGAGAAAGGAGGGCCTGTGGGGCCCCAGTCAATGGCTTTCCCCTTCAGATGGGAAGGGATCCTCTTGGGTGACAAGTTCGTTGTGTTTCCTGGTTCAGACTCCTCATGGCGAGGGACGATCATTGTCATCCTCACACTGGGGTGTCCTGGCATGGGGACAAACTTAGTAGTTTGTATGTAGTCATTGTTGACTATGACTATGTCGTCTTCATCCATCTGGTTTCCCTGATGGTTTGGTTCCTGTTCTTGAGCAACAATGTGGTCAAGTGAGAATGCACTAGGTGCCCCAAGTTGAGGCCTATTAATTGGGGGTTGGTGTTGTACCAACTCTAGGTTGGGACGAATAAGTCCTGCCTTTACCTCTTTGAGGTCCTCATCGTTCTTCATGAGACGCACTGTAGGAGAAATAATATTCAAAGAATAAAACAATGATCTATCAGAATAGTCAACAATCAGGTGACAAGTTCAAAAGTCTAACAGATCTCATGATCTGGATGGACGTTGGAAGATCATTATAATTATCCACACCCACGTAGCATGAGATTTAAGCTACTATAAGCATGCCTAGAACCTGGCATAGGTGAAGGGGGATATAATGTTCAATACAACAAGAAAAAGCACATAGACGGCAGAATAAGAGGGAACATTGGGAAAGAAATGTGAATATCTCGGGAACCAGGGAACCTTTGACTGTAATATTTTTACCATCTGAAAGGACTGTTTCTAAACTTTATCCACGGTTTTATTCCATTCTACAAGCTTCAAAACTGACGGAGATATCGCTCAAACGGCGAAACACCTTATAATTCATATATATATGTTTGCTAATTCTTGCAAAAAGTAATGTGACTCAAGGGAAATATATTGACGCCCGGAAGTCTGGCGGACCGAATACCATATGGCAGAGTATCCCCCGGCGCGGACGGACAGTTTTTGATCGCATCAGAAGAGGAGAAAATGCTAAAACACCGGATCTTGTATATTTTCCCATGATTCATCAAAACCTTTTGATTTTAAGCTCAAATAAATCGGAACAAAGGAATGATTGATGATCTGGATCTCGGATAATAAGCATAAAGTGATTCAGAAGTCCGCGGATCAGTCAATTAATTGGGAAAGCTCTAGAACATTAGTAATGATGCAGCTTCACAAAAAGGGGTGAATTAGAGAACAGTCTAGAAAGTTCCTTTATAGCCGAGTCATTTCTAAAGATAACCGTTTATAATTAAGGCGGTGTAGATCATAGCTTTAGCGCTGCAAGACCCCGCCAAGATCGGCCCAAAAGACAAAGAAATGAATTACTTATTGCTGAGTCATGTCCTAAGTCCATTATTAAGCTTACACAGCCCAAGCCCCTATATCATTCTAGAACTATCTATAATACAAATGTAGCACATGTAACTAGTGCGAGGCGTGGGAGTAGAGAGGTCTCTGAAAAGCATAAAAGGCTGCCGCTTCTGCCCCCTCTCAAACCTCAGGTAGAAATATAAGTTTAATTCTCCTCACCAGTGGTTGGTTCGTTTGCTCCAAAAGATAAAAGCAAATATTAGTTGTTAGCTAATATAAAACTAACACGTCACTCTAAGCGCGAGTTAGGGTCAGTTAGACACAGCTGAACAAAAGTGTCATAGTGAGAATTAGTGAGAATTTGGTGGAGGTACTTCTTAATTGAATAATCTCTCAGTAATATTTGGTTATCACACCACAGGAGAAAAGTGAGCGATCCTGAACCTGCTAGATAACTAGCACGCCCTCTAAGCGATAGAAAGAGCAGTTTGGTCACTCCTGTATTGAGTAACATTTATTTCAGAATTATTTTATTAGTAGTTTTCCTTCAGTAAATTATCAGGAAAATCACATCCTACTGAAAAGTGGTATAACTAGGTGTAATATTGACTAGAAATCATAGTAAAGTCAATATAGAATTTTATCCGTAGACGATCTATATGTCAAGTGAGATCGTTGGGGGGTGTTTATTGTTGTTTAGACAGTGAACAACTATATATTTGGCAACCAAAACATGGTCAGTAAGCAAATCAGCACAAACTCTAATATCATTATTGGGCATAGGAAACTGGTTACATAAGGTGATCCAGCTCTGCTCCTTCAGCGCTAGAGTGATCCCTACTTGCATGTATAGGCAATCAAGCCTATCATCTGTTGTGTTGGTTCATGTCAGAGTCCGCGCGTCAGTTCACGCGTAAGAATCTCCCCAGGAAACTAGTTGTTGTAAAAGCTGGGGGGCCAACCCAGCTGGCGATAAGGCCTTATATACATGAGTTCCGCAACTCATAAGAGCGCGGCTACACTGGGAACACATGGTAGCCGATAGAGAAGCGACATGAAATAGGAGAATAGATCATGCGGATAAGGGGGCGATAACGGGTGAGGGATGACGCGATAGCGGAAATAGTGCATTGAATACAGCCTGCATTCTAACTACGGCAAATCACACGCAGATATCGACTTACGGGTACTCAACCTATCCGGATAGAGGTCCGGGCCGGCCAGATAACCGTCCGTGCCCTGACAGTTCAAGCCACTAGGCTCGTCAATGTCTGCATGATTTCTTTGAGCTGGTCGTTGACCAGCTCTTGAGGTTGAGTCGATGCTCGATCACCAACAGTGTCAATGATCTTGACAGACTTGTTGAGGCCATCACTAGGTATTGGCATCTCTTTGCCCTAGCAGGATCGGGAACAGGGTCGGGGATTTGAGCATTGGGAGGCCTATTTGGCTCTAGCAGTGTGTCAGGAGGGTCCTTCTCAGGAAGAGAAGGTGCTTCTATACCTAGCACATTTGAAGTGCTAGGTTGATCTGGACCCAGTGTATCCAGGCCTTCTTGGGGCCCTGGAGTCACACCAGGATCGGGAGGGACATTTGGGGGACTGCTTCTAGTGCCCTTGGCACTATCCACTGTCTGCACAACATTATGCGCATTTGATCTCATCCTCTTTGCAGAGGGAGAACCTGGAGCTCTCTTGAGTGCCATGAGGACTCCAAAAGCTGGTTCTGATGAGCTGATTGGCACGCTTCGTGATGTCAATCAAATGGAAGCTTTGGTTAATGCTGGGGTTGTTGATATTCAACCCACCAAGTGTAAAAAAGTGTAAGATGATAAGATAATAATAGTTGTGAGTATCGCCTCACACTCCCAGTCTGTCAGAGATACACTATAATAGGCTGTATAATCAATGGGGGAGTAAAGGCTGTCCAGCCTTAACTCACCTGCATGCAAGGTTTATATACACGGGGGAAGAGCACATGCAGCCTATGCAGCTTGCAGGGTCTCCAAGTATGTACAATAATGTAGTGCTGTTGCGTGAAGTTACAAACTGATTATGATATACTATGTTACAAGTGATAACAAGAGTAAGGCAAAGTAAAAGAGTTAGGAGGGGGCGCATATGCAGCCTCCCTTCCTTACAGCAAGCAACTAAACTGCCCAGCAGAGGTGGGAGTGTGCTAGCGGACGTTGGAGCTGTCCAGAGGCCTTTAGGGCTCCGTACTTAGGGAGGCTTAGGTATTGAGGGGGTGGTGACCATTGGGGGAGTCAGAGGTGGTTGCGGAATCCGGAGGCTCCAAGGTTAGTGACGAAGGAGCAGAGGTGATCTGGAAGGAATGGAGGGAGTGGAGGGTGATGGCCATGGATGGATATGACAGATTCCTGGGCTTGACTCCTCAAGTATTACAAGGAACCCCTGATGATTGTCCAAGATGGACCAGGGGTATGTGATTCTTAAAGAGTTTTTGTGATTATTTTGTTTTTGTTAGCACCTGGACCACACCCAGGACCGTCTTAGGACACAGTAGACTTCCTCCCCACAAATTTGCTTGCATTTAGGGGGTCAGATTCCTAGCCCGATTGCAGTGTCCAGCATTGTGGTACCCATGCAGGATGCTTGGCATCAGACATGTCTGTGCTACAGATGGGGGGTCATCCATAGGATAGAGAGGAAGGAGAGGAAGGAGAGAAAGAAAGAAAGAAGAAGGAGAGGGGAGCAGCATGGCCATGCCCCGACAGAAGAGAGGTGGATGTGGTGGAAGTACTAAGGGAGGAATTTTAGACTTTTTCCTCCCTCAGATCTCTTGTCAGGGTCTGAGGTGAGAATGATATTTCTAGATTTTATCTTATAGAGTCTAAACACAACATAGTCTTTATTACAATACATTGGTGACTGCTGTCATATCAATACAACTCCGGACCTCTGCTCCTGTTCTGGACCTCCATCTCCTCCTCTAGAACTCTAGATCCTCCACCACCTCCTCCCCCTGTTGGTGGTTGAGAGCCCACTCTACCTCTGGCTCCAACACAATGCCCAACACCCCCTCTGGTCCAACTCTGGTTTACTCCAGGTCCAATCCCAACCTCGTACCTTCCAGACCAGAGTTTGCAATGCTCCATACCTCTGGCTCCAGACTCCTGTACCAGAACCCCATCGTGCCTCCACCTCCAGAACTCTGGTCACATCTCCGCCTCTGGACTTTGACCTCCTCCTCCATCTTATCTCCTTGTATTCCTTATTGCATTTCATTTATTACATCTTGCCAATATTCCGGACTTAGACTTCCAACTCCGGACCTCCAGAACTTACTCCAGACCCTGCAGTCTCTACCATATGGTGTCATTTAATCCTCTTGTTGCCTCTTCCTTATTTAGACAGCTGCTTCCTTTCCATATTAGTCAGCTGTCATTCCCCAAAACTGTTAGAACGGGTGGAAACGGACGACTCCGGAGTGGAATCGGAGACTTAGCGTGGAGGGACCTTGGCCTCAGCGACTCAAGCGGAGTGCTGTGCCATTGCTGTTTGTCCATTTGGTCCTTAATTTCACAGTAGGTGAGCAGGAAGTCTCTTGGGGGCATTTCAGGTCGATTTCGGACTAAAACCAAAACGAGTATGTACAAGCGCCGATATATATAATGGAAGGGGCAAAAGCACAAAGAGAACAAAGGGTGACCAAATCGGAACGAAGACGTCCGAACGGGAACAAAGGGTAGAGGGGGCGGAGCGGTACCGAAGGTCATAGGGCAAGACCTGTGATACGTCCGAAAGGAGGTAGAGAGGGCGAGGCCCAGAGGGGCAGGAGGATGAGGGGAAGTGGGGATGATGACTAACTGGCTAGAATAGAAAGAAGCAGTAGTCCAAATAGGGATGAAGGGAAAATGCGAGAAATACATTACAGGCGGCGAGAGTGCCGAAGGCAGTCCGCGAAGCTCGGGGGTTGTGGAGCTTACGGAGGTTACGGAGGTGGGGTTGGAAGTCCGAGGAATATTGGCAATGGTGTTTACGTAGTATGAGGTCACCAATGCAATGGACTAAGACCGAGGTGGAGTCAAAGTCCGAGGTAGGGACTATGACGGAGGCTCGGAGTAAGGTATGAACAGTGTCCGAGTGTGAAGTACGGAGCAGCGGTGGACGGTCGTAACTTGGCGGAAGGGTAACGGAAGGAGGAGAGAGGGGACAGGTAAGGAGAGGGAGTGGCGGAAAGGAGAGTAGTCAGGTCCGAAGGTGAGTATTGGAACGGACGGGGGAAGCGTAGGGGGATGACGGGAGGGTGGAGGTGTTGTGAGGGGGGAGCGGAGTTGTAGGAAGGGTGGCGAGTGGGGCGATGTTCGGTCCGAGATGAGTATCGGAACGGCAGCGGTAGGTTATGACTCCGGAGGTGAAGAGGGTGGAGGTCCGGAAGTCAGATCGGGGTCAGGTATGCACGGATATGACAAAAACCCCCTCCACTCCTTCCCCTCTTGGCCTTGCCCATTGTCAGGGCATACACCCTGACCTAGCCCATACCCACATCCACACCCGCACTCGCACCTGCTGAAGGAGAGAACGAAGGAAGGTCAGTTGGGAGGTTCAAACGTGACCACCACCAAGCTGTTCCCTGGTTCTTTAGTTAGGATGGGGAAGTGTACTAGTATTATTTGTTGTAAATATAGTACCAATCCAAGTGTTTTGGCTAATTCTATTTTTATGGGTTAGTCTAAAGTTTCTGGGAATTGACTTACAGATAAACCAAGCCCTGCGGAGCTGTTCCTTTATTGAAATTTCTTAATTTGTCTAGGTGTAATTCTGTGTAGCGTTGTTTAATTTGGAATTTAACTTGAATTAAATCTTCTACTTGGTGAAGTTTCAAAGATTCTACTCAGTTAATGGATTTGGATTGTGTCTGGAGTGTCCCTTGAGTTTGTTTTATTTTTGTCTTATTTTATTGCTTGTTTTAACAGTAGCAAAATAACTGTTTTGTGTTTACACTTTGAAATCTGGAGTGTTAACCAGCTCTCCTGTTGAAATATCTACTTAATATTTCTCTCCTTAATTGCTGCCTTTTACTACAGTGGCAATCTTAACTGTATATCACTTTTTCGCACTGGAGTGACAACCAGAAATGCTTGAGAAAAATAATACTCTATTTTCTTACTTCTCTGAGGGGGGTGAAAAGTCGCAGAAAGGGTCTCCCTTTGATACTCCTTGGGTCGCCTTCCTTTTTCACGCTCTACCTCCTATTTACAGGATTTATTTACAGTGTATTTTTCTCAAACTGAATAAAAAATGAAATTTTCACGCTATAGTTCTACTGTGCTTTGCTGCGCTGAACTGCGGCTCTACTGCAGTCAGACTGCGCCTAGAATCCTTATTGTCCTTCCTCGCCTAAGCTATTTTAATGGTTAATTAGAACTTGACTGCGCTGCATTTGTCACAGTTTCCTATTTCAAATTCCTCATATTTACCATTAAATTCGCTATGACTCGGTGATTCTGAATTCAAACTTCGCATTACTATGCGTACGGCTGTGCTGAGACCTTCAGCTGATTTATTCCATTTTTATTCAGTGACATTTAGTTAAAATGAGACTTGAAATGGTAAATGAGTGAATTATTCAGGTTTAAAACCAGAAGAAAAAGTTGCTAGTAGTCAAGAATTACTCAAACAAATGTATTATAGCTCTCCACTTCATTAGAATATCATTCCCTAAAGTTCCTGCCATGGTCTGTCATAGTTTAGTGGTTTTTGTGGATTTCGTTCATCTTCCTTGATTCCCCTTTGTATTATCACATCCTAATCCTCCATATGTGTTGTTCGTTGTTATAGTAGGTCGTCCTCGAAGATATCATATTTTTATGTATTTTATTTAGGGCTCTGGACCTCTTGAAGCTGTTTTCCCGCGCGTTTTCAGGTTTCTAACTTCATGTCCTTGTATCTCATTCATTTCTGGATAGTTTCTCACGTTCTTGGTATCATAAATTTTCATTTATTCCCACCTTTCCAATGGTACTAAAGTTGTGTTCTATTTCCTGGTATTCGTCGAGTTCGCAAAAGTTCATGTGTGCATTCGGTAATCACGTGCATCGTTCCCATAGTTGTTTGTATGCGGGTGCTGTTTCTGTTTAATTGTTCGGGATTTATGGTATGCGCAGGTGTTTATATCCTTCATATGGGCTTCTGTGATTTTTTTTCAGATTTTTCCCTCATGTTCTAAGGTTGTTTTGCACTTTCCGTGCTTTGTTTTGACCAGGCTCTTCCTTATTTGGATGGAAATTGGTCTTCGCGATCTGCCGAAGTGTGGATCTCGGTTCCGATGGCTGGTTCCCTTTGCATTGCCACCCTCACATGTCATTAAACATGATGCGGATTTCTATATTCCTGTCATGGGTATAACTTCACAACGGCTGGACCGTTTGGGCTGAAAATTTGCATAACTATAGTTCCCTATTTTTCATAATTTCCGTGTAAATTTCGTTGTATGTTTTAATTATGGATACTTCGTAAACATTGGCTTTTCCCTGAGCTCGGACTTTTGATGTTGCTATTCCCGTTATTGGATATCTCATTAATGCATGATCCTTTTATTATGAAAATTTGGGTGGATTAAGATTAGATCCCTTCCTTTCTAATGGGCTATCAAGCTCGTCTCGGTCATCACTGGTTAGTCTTCGCACTTGCTTTTTAAACGTTGTCCTTGTTTTGCAGGAGTTTTAGTCATATCTCCGTCGTTTATGGGTAGTTTTCCCTGTAATTACTTTCATTGGGTCCGTTTGGGGGACATCTACATTGCCTATTATAAACACGACTTTCAATTTTGCATTAGTTCCTGAGGAATCCTTGTTCCGTGGTACTTCCATCCTTGGCTACATGTGCAGACATGGGAAATGTTAGAACTTGCGGATTCAGACGACTCCGGAGTGGAATCGGAGACTTAGCGTGGAAGGACCTCGGCCTCAGCGACTCAGGCGGAGCGCTGTGCCATTGCTGGTTGTCCTAGGGGTCCCTAATTTCGGATCTAGCAGAGGGAAAGTCTCTTGGGGGAATTCATGTCGATTTCGGACTGAGGTTACAAGTTACTAGGTACATTGTATATAAGGAGGGGTCCGGAATCAAAAGGAACAAGGGTAGGACGAAAGAAGACAAAGGGAGATGGAAAGAGGAACAACACCGAGGGTCAAGTGTTTGACTCAATGGTGTTTCCCAAAGGAGGAATGAAGGGCCAAGGCCCAAGGAGGAAGGAAGGAGGATGGGAGTCGGGAATGGCTAGCTGACTGAATAGAAGGAAGCAGCAGCCCAAATAGGAATGAGGGAGAATAGCGGAATTGAAATGGACAATGCAATAGTTGCAAGGTCCGGAGTAAGTCCGGAAAGTCCGAACTCGGAGGTTAAACTCCGGAATATTGGCAAAGGTAATTAAATGGAACGAGCTAACCAATACAATGGGTATAAGCGGAGGTGGGGTCAAAGTCCGAGGTCGGAGCTAAGACCGGAGGTTCCGGAGACGGAGATGCAAACAGGATTCCGGAGCGGAGGTCCGGAGTCGGGAGCATAGGTGTTGTGTACTTGTCTGGAAGGTGTCGAGGTTGGGGTCGGACCCGGAATGTTCTGGAGTCGGACCGAAGGTGGTGTTGGAGCCAGAGGTGGGATAACCTCTTGGGAGTCGGCAAGGAGAAGGTGACGGAAGGGAAGTAGGGCTCTGGAGTCGGTTTCGGAGTTCCAGGAGCCCGGAGCGGAGGTCGGGATTGTACAGATATGACAGGAAAGTAGTTTCCGTGGAGGTTCTCTGATTGTTTCTATAGTCAAATCTTGGTCGATTGTCCTAATTCTTCCTTTAATATTTGGTATAAATTCCCCCGAGAATTCCGTCTTGTTGATGCTAAGCTTGAAGTATTTTTGCTAATTTTCTTTCTTTCAATTTATTGCATATAGTCATAATAATTCGTAAAAATTCGTAAAAATTCATTAAAATTCAGGTCCTTCTATTTTCTCATATCTACTTGTTGTATGGGGTTTTGAGATTTATCTGGCATATTTCCATAATGGGTTTCCATAGTGTGACCGTTATTTCTCCTACTGTCATGGCCCCGCAAAGTCCCCGCCCTTCTACCACTTTCTGCACCCCCATTCTTGCGCCCGTTACTCACACCCATTAATCGCGCCATTGCCCATCACTTAGCGGCACCGATAGTGGTTCCTGTTCTACGGCCCCGTAGCAGCGCCTCCTTCGTTTTCCCGCCACCACTTAAGTTCCTCAGCCATTCAGCCGATACCGTTTTATTCTTATTGATTCGCTTAACTAACTAGCAGTTGTTATGGTTGCCGCTGATCCGCTCCTTATTGACATTTGGTTTATTCCTTTATTGACACTTGGTTATTCCTTTATTGACATTTGATTTATTCGTATATTGACATTCTGATCCGCCACCATATTGGCACCTAGATTGTCGGCCTATTCATTCTGCCTCCCAACTTTGCCGTCCTCTGTTCCATTCATTTCTTCGGTTCCATTTCCCTGGTCCTCATCGCTCTTTTAGTTCTGTCGTACTTACCATCCCACTCCCGTCCCGCACCGGACCGACTGGCCCCTCTCTGTTCTCCTTTTGTATTTATACTTGTAGTTTACTGTCGATGTACCTTAGTTCGAATATCGACTAGAATCCCCCCCCCAGTACTCTCATTCTAAGTTCGCCTCTCAATTCCATCTCCGCTTAAGTCAACGTCGCCACAAGGTAACTCCCGCTAACTTGAAATACGGGACAGCCTAGAACACGTGGCGCAACGCTCCAGCCAAGTCGTTGAAGCCGAAGTCCCAACCACCACGACGCAGTAGCTCTTTAGCTAAGTGTCACTCACGCTGCCGTACTCCGCTCCGCTTCCCGTGAATTCCTTGAATACAGTTTCTGACACCTACACCGCACCCGCACCCGGCTGTTGCACTTCCCATGTGTACCCTGTGCCGGATGCTCAGTGCAGCTGGATGGCCCGGACCTTGGGTCTCAGGTCTCATGTGACTTCTGGATATCTCTGGAAGTTTTTGGGCCACTGTGGGAAGATGAGAAGTTAACTTCCTTCTCATCTCTGACCCACAGTAGGATTGTGCCCTGGATAGGGCTGGCCAGACTTGAGGCTGTGGGCCATAGGGGAGGGTCATGGGGACCCGGGAGTCATCCCCTGACACCCATTTGGGAAGCACCATAGAGTTCCAACCCTTGATCCTTGGGGTTGTTCCCTCATCCAGTTCCCTTTGTTCTCTGACTCCACTCCTGTATTATTATATATACACTCTGTACATAGTTTCCTGTACCCCCAGTCTGAAAATGACAATGACGACAATGATGACTGGATTGTCCCCCAAAGAGACTCCCCCTGCTAACCTGAAGTTAAGGACCACCTTACACAACAAGCAGTGGCACAGCGCTCCACTTGAGTCACTGAGGCCAAGGTCCCTCCACTCCTGAGTCCCTTCTCCACTTCCGGACAACTCCATGCTCTTTTAACAACTGCATACCATGCCAGTGGCCCTTATGTACACACAGCTGTGGAGCAAGAGCCAAAATCTACAACCAGAATGTTACCTCCCCAGAGGCATATATCCACATCCCACACTTGATTGTCACCAATTCGGGTACACCCTCCACTAACATTGGTGTTGTTCAGGATTGTCCACCGTGTAAGGTCATAAGAAACTTTGATGAGATGACCACAAATTTGACCCTCCAGTGGTCTCCCAAAGGGTATGGGGGAAGAGGAGTGCTGCTTCAGCACATTCAACCCATTGCCACTACAATCACCTGCTGGGTAAAACATTAGTTAAATGGGAGCAAATTTTATTTTTAGCTTTGATTCACCATATGGTGCTAGAAACCACCATGATTGAGTCCACCCTGTGGGTCCCACATCTGGCAGCTGGATCCATTGTAAAATGTGGAAATCAGCAGCAATGATAGGAAGTAGACCAATTGGGACTAAAGTGTTCCAGAATCGCATCAAGACTTTGATGAGCTGCTACTATTATGCAGGCAGGTAGTGTATGTGGCATGAGCAGCTATTTACACCACATGAATCAAGGAGTTCTAACCTCAATCTGCAGCAGAATGCTTGGAAAAATGGTTGGTGGCCTCTTTCAGTGGTTATATAAGTCAATCTTTGAGGGATAAATGGAATATTTTTCTTGCATAGTGGAAATCCCAGAGTGTGTCATTAATATCACTGATATCATTTATATATATGGCACACAGCCATGGTTGATATCACCGTTGGGTTAGGGCACTAAATGCACATATTGAAGAAAAACCTATTCTCATTTGGTAGATATTGACTGTCATGTGTGTTATGGAAATGGGAATTTCCCATTTTAGACTCTTATGGGTTCTGTATCACATTATTTGTATAGTAATAGAGTTGCACCAATCAATTACAACCATAAAAACCCCTGCCACACTATCATGTCTAAACATCTGTGAAACCACCTGTACAACCATATGAATTCCCTTCCCTATTCCTGCACCAGGATGGACAAAAATAGGTGCCTCTGGCCCCATTTTTGTAACAATGTGGGTGTGATCAGGATAAAAAATGTTGAACATCATGGTGGGAATATTGTCAATCCATTCTGCCAACTGCAGCAGGAGAATCGTTTCTAATTGGTCAAAAAGGGAGATCAGGTCTGATATTTCCTACTGTGGCAATGGGGTGTCTGATAGTTGAGAACACCAATCAGTATCTCACCCACTGCTGGAACCTAGCACAAAATTGCCCTCTGGAGTGTTCGCCAATGTAAAAGAGCCAGTCATGCTAAGTCTCATGCCATGCCCATCCCTCACACATGGAAGTTAACATAAAACAAATTGCCCATGTGAATATTAGCATTGTTGATGCACATGGGTAACAGCTGAGCTACTGATAGTAGTAATAAGTTTTTCCTCAATATAATGAATAATGTACATTTGGCATCTCATCCAGCTGCAATATTAATCAACCTGTGTGCTATATATATGCATCATATATTAATGATGAAGGTAGAAGATACCGCCTATATAACCACTGAAGAGGCCACCGGTTGTCCCTCCATTTTCTATGTATTCTGCTCCAGACCAAGGTAAGAACTCCTTCATTCATAAATAGCTGCTCATGCCATTTACACTACCTGCCAGCATAATAGTAGCAGTTCATCAAAGTCTTGATGCAACTCCAGATTTCTTTGATCCCAATTGGTCTACTACTTCCCATCATTGTTGCTGATTTTCATGTTGGACAATATGTTCGTCCAGGGCATATGAAAACCCATCAGCCATCTCAAACATGGTGGCTTCTAGTCCCATCACCATATGGTGAACTGAAGCGAGAAATTAAATTTGAACCTGTTTAACTAATGTTTACCAAACAGACAATTGCTCCAAGATACTGGATGTGGCACAGTCTGCCCCTCATGCACCCATTGGGAGAAAACTGATAGCTCCCATTTGTGGTGATTTTGTTGAGGTTTCCAATGACCTTATGGGGTGGACAAGCCTGACCAACACCAATGCTAGTGGAGAGTGTACCCGACTTGGAGATGATCCAAATGATGTGGGTGGCTGTGGGGGTGGTAGCTGGACATACTTAGATGTGGTCTATTGCTCCTCACCCTTGTGTAAGGGCCATGTGCAGAGCTAGTATGCCATGGCCCCTTCAGGGGGAGTCTTGGTCAGGGGGCTAGCTGTACAATAGGGATGTCCCACAACTCAGGCAAAACTGTGCCAAATATTTAAATTAGCAGTAACTCAAAACTCTGGTGTGTTTCAAAAAGTGTGCCACAAGACTGTGAAAACCACAACTATCTGTTTTCACAACTGGGTTTGAACAGTCTCAATTCCATCCTGCATTCATCTGTTTGTCTCCAATGTAACTATAATTACAGCAGGGAGGATGGTCCTTGATTAAGTGAAGCATTAAATTAATCCTGTGGGGTGAAATGTGCAGGTTGTGCCAAAATCTTTGTAGATCATCAGCTTTGTAACAGTCTGTCAGGGCACACACCCTGAGTAGCCTGCATCCGGACCTGCATCTGCCTGCTGCACTTCCCACATGTGCACTCCACCCCACATGCTCTGGGCCCCGGTTCCCACCCTGTCAGGGACGCGTCTGGGGTCGAGGCGGTCCGGGCATAGCGTCCGGTGCTGAGGACCTCACGGGGGGTAGATCGGGCGTGCGTACTGGCAGGCCCAATGCGGGACAGCGATCCCTGGCCACTTAGACTGAAGTGGGAATGTTGAGTTATTATTAAAAAGGGGGACTATGCTACTTACCTGAAGTGAGAAGAAGGTTACTTCTTCGGTTCCCACCCCAGGTGTGTTTATATACATGCGGCTTGGGTCACATGAGGTCCGCCATGTCACCCCGCATACAGCTGCGGTCACCCATGTGTCCCCATGGGGGATCCTGAGGGGGTATGCTGCACGCACACGCACTGGGTCGCACCCTAGAGCCGTCCGGGGTCGTCCAGGGCTAGGCATGTCGTGTGCGCGTCATGGGCGGGTCAATAATACATAGATATAAGGGAAAGGTCGTCCGTGTGAAATAGAAATAGAAATAGGAATAGAAATAGAAGTGGGAGAGGGATAGAGGGGGAAGGGATATGAAGGAAGGGTGCAGGGTGGGAGAAGGGGTACCGGGTGAGGTGGGTCCGGGTGGAGGCGGGTCAAGCGGGTGTGCCCTGACATCACCCCCTCCTTAAGCTGCTTTGCCTCGAAGCGGCCAGGGGGTTTTCCCTCTCTCTCCCTGGGGCTTGGGGGTGTGCCTGGTGGAACTCTTCGATTCGGTCGGGAGCATGTGTCAGCCAGTCTCAGGGGAGCCACTCGTTTTCGGAGTTTGGCCAGCCAGAGAACTTTACCAAATACCAGAGTTTCCAGCATAACCACTTAGAGTTTAATATTTTCTCCACCTCATATTCCTCCTCTCCATCTACAAGTTCTGGGCCCAGGTGGGGCCAGGGGGTCGTTCTGAAATTTCGTCCGGGCGGTGGGGCCTTACGTTTGTCACAGACACGACTGGGTGTATCCCCTTCTGTCAGGCGGTGAGCTGGAGCTTGACGGCAGCTGGGGAGACGACTTTGACGATTTTGAAGGGGCCTAGCCATTTATGGTCCAGCTTTTTGGTCGGGCGGTCTGTCGGCTGAGCCAGACCCAGTCGCCTTCTTGGTACTTAGGGGCTGCTTCGTGACCTCGGTTGTAGTAGCGGGCCATCTCGTCCGCTGCATGTTCCAGTGCTGCTTTTGCCTCCTCTTGCATCTTCATCATCCTAGATGAGAAGGCGTCAGCAGCTTCTACCTCGGACGTGCGTGTGGGCTCTGTCCCCATCCTGGGGTGCTGTCCAGTGTCGAGTTCGAAGGGAGTCCAGTGGGTGGAGGAGTGGACTCGGTTGTTGTAAGCGAACTCTGCTAGCGGGAGCCAATCCGCCCAGTCGTCTTGGCGGTGGTTGACGAATACCCGGAGATAGGCTTCGATCTCTTGGTTGACCTGCTCTGTTTGTCCATCCGTCTGGGGGTGGTAGGGTGTGGAAGGGGTTAGCTTGACTCCCAGGAGATCTGCGAGTTCTTTCGAGAAGCGCGAGACGAAGGCGCTTCCCCTGTCACTGAGGATCTCTTCAGGGAGCCCGTGGTGTCTCCAGACGTGCTCCAGGAAGAGCTGGGCGATCCCAGCCGAGTCTACGGACGTCACAGTGGGGACTGCATGGATATGTTTTGACAGGCGGTCCACTACGACCAGGATGGCGTTGTAGCCTTTCAAGTCTGGGAGCTCTCCCACCATGTCCACTTGTCAGGGGACGACTCCCAGGTCCCCATGACCCTCCCCTATGGTCCACAGTCTGTGGTGTAACCAGCCCTGTCCAGGGCACAACTCTACTGTGGGTAAGAAGATGTAATAGATAAAGGCAAGTAAGATACAACTTGCCTACTGTGGGTAAGAAGATGAGAAGGAAGCTAACTTCTCATCTTCCCACAGTGGCCACCATATCAGGAAAACTTCCGGGGATACCCGGAAGGAGTAGGAACCGGGCCCGGAGCATGCGGTGCGCGGAGCGTGCACGCATGCGGGAAGCGCAGCGGGTGGAAGCGGGTCCGGACGCGGGTCCGGGTCCGGGCTAGTCAGGGTGTGTGCCCTGACACCACTGAGATCACCTGCCAGCGATGGGTGGGGACTTTGTTTGGGGTAAGTTTTCCAACTTTCTGTGTGGGGAAGGATTTGACACGGTTACAGGTGTTATGGAAATGGAGAATCTTATGGTCCGTGACAGGCAACCAGACCTTGAGGCCCTTTGCTATGGAAATGGGCCTAGACTCCTATAGACCAGGCACACAGGTAAGATATTTCTTACTTCTTCTCACTTCATTCTCTGCCAAACCCCATGCCAAGCTTTCCCACTGGGTTTTGGTGCTGGCTGGGGGATTTGTTGATTTCCAAAGGACTTCCTTTGGCCATTATAACATTTGTATTAGATAGATACAAGTCATATGATATGTATGGCAATTGCCGAGATGTTTTCTCATTATCAAATACATAACCCACAAACCTTGTACCGCAATTGTAACATCCTCACCATTGTGCCACCACTGTAAGCTCAACCTGTAACCTTGGAACCATGTCCACCTCCCTATTCATCCTCTCCATGACAAAACCGCAGCGAGGAGGGCATTCCCATGCCCAACCTCCTGCTGCCCGCTCCCACCAGTCCACCGGGTGGTTGAGCGGTCACTCCCATCCAACCAGAAGTTCCCTATCAGGAACTGTAGCCTATCCCACCTGTCAAGTTCTAATTAACCATTAAAATAGCTTAGGCGAGGAAGGACAATAAGGATTCTAGGCGCAGTCTGACTGCAGTAGAGCCGCAGTTCAGTGCAGCAAAGTGCAGTAGAACTATAGCGTGAAAATTTCATTTTTTATTCAGTTTGAGAAAAATACCTGTAAATAAATCCTGTAAATAGGAGGTAGAGGAAGGCGACCCATGGAGTATAAAAGGGAGACCCTTTCTGCAACTTTTTGCCCCCCTCAGAGAAGTAAGAAAATAGAGTATTATTTTTCTCAAGCATTTCTGGTTGTCACTCCAGTGCGAAAAAGTGATATACAGTTAAGATTGCCACTGTTGTAAAAGGTGGCAATTAAGGAGAGGAATATTAAGTAGATATTTCAACAGGAGAGCTGGTTAACACTCCAGATTTCAAAGTGTAAACACAAAACAGTTATTTTGCTACTGTTAAAACAAGCAATAAAATAAGACAAAAATAAAACAAACTCAAGGGACACTCCAGACACAATCCAAATCCATTAACTGAGTAGAATCTTTGAAACTTCACCAAGTAGAAGATTTAATTCAAGTTAAATTCCAAATTAAACAACGCTACACAGAATTACACCTAGACAAATTAAGAAATTTCAATAAAGGAACAGCTCCGCAGGGCTTGGTTTATCTGTAAGTCAATTCCCAGAAACTTTAGACTAACCCACAAAAATAGAATTAGCCAAAACACTTGGATTGGTACTATATTTACAACAAATAATACTAGTACACTTCCCCATCCTAACTAAAGAACCAGGGAACAGCTTGGTGGTGGTCTCATTTGAACCTCCCAACTGACCTTCCTTCGTTCTCTCCTTCAGCGCACAGAGTGTGCGGCACAGGAATGCATGCAGGAAGTGTAGTAGGTCCGGACACAGGTCCGGGTCCAGGCTAGTCAGGGTGTGTGCCCTGACAGTTTCAGACTCACTGTGACCCCGGTCCCGACTCACTCAGCCTAAAAATCTCAACACTAGGTGGACCTCCCTGGAAGACAAGCTAGCAGTACTGTCTGTGAAGCACTGTCCCCAAGATGACAAACACTCAGACACCACCCCAGGCACATGGACCTAGTACTTAGTGGAGCAGAGGGGAGAATCTCTGTATCATTCTAGATACATCTTGTATATAAACCCAAGTTATACTGAGCTAATGTCTGAGCAATCCGACGGTGTTAGGGACGGATAGAAATGGACAGAACAACATAGAACAAAGGAAACAACAGAAAACATAAAAATATATAGGAACGGCCACACAATCGATAAACTCCGACGATCTCCACAACGGCTGCACCAAATCTTTCGATCTTAGATTCGTTCTACTCGTCTTGATGGTAGCCTTCCAACGATACAAAGTGCATCCAGATCGGAGAAGAACTGGGGGAGTTATGGTGAGAATACTGTGAAAGCGGCCTGGTAACATGTCCAGGTGGGCCATAACCTGGTCTGAAAAATTATCAAAAAATACAACGATGATAGGGGAGGTTCAACGAGCTTTGGGGGACTGGGAGACTGTGTGTCAGGCGCTAGGTAACGTCTGTGGGCCATGATATAGCAGTGTTGGGTCACTACCAGCTTTTCCCTCCTTCAATGCTGCATCAGGAGCTTCGTAGTGGAGAAGTATTTGAGGTTCTTGTGATTGGTGACAATGTTGATTGGATCTCTGGATCATGACATGTAAGGAATGGTAACTCCACCCCTTATTTCCCATTACATAATTGTATAATTGTCTTGTAATAAACATGTATATACAAAGTACATACAATAGTGTGGGAAAGTGGAAAGAGCAACTTAGCCTTTCCTCCCATACTGTTGCAAATAATAACTTCATACAAGTTACTTTTG